ACCCCAAACCTCCCCCCCCCTAAAAACCCCCCCGGGGCCCCTAAACCCCCCACCCCTTTAAACCCCCCGGGCCCCTAATAACCCCCCAAAGGGCCCCTTATAACCTCCCAGGATCCTAGTATCCTCCCGGCCCCTAGTAAACCTCTCCAGGCCATTTAATAACCTCCCCAGGCCACTAATAAACCTCCCAAGGCCCCATAATAACCCCCCCAGGCACTGTATACCCTTCCACAGGCCCTAAAACCTGCCCCTAATAGCCTAATAACTACCCAGGCCCTGTATAACCTCCCCAGACCCCTAATAACCTACCAAGGTCCTATAACCTACACAGGCCCCTAAGAACCTCCCAGTTTCTAGTAACCTCCACAGGACCTTAATAACCTCCCAGGCACCTATAATCCCCCGGCTCCTAATAACCTCCCCTGGCCCCGTATAACCTCTCAAAGCCCTAATACCTCCCCAAGCACATAATAACCTACCCAGGCCCTTAATTACCTACCCAGGTCTCTAATAACCTCCCCAGGCCCCTAGTAACCTCCTCAGTCCTCAACCTCCCCAAGCCCTTAAAAAATCCCCAAATCCCGTATAAAATCCATAGGCTCTTTAGAACCTCCCTATGCCCTATAACCTACCCAGGCCCTGTTTAACCTATTTAAGGCCCTCATAATCTCCCCTGGCCCCCGTAAAATTCCCAGGCTTTTATTAACCTCCCCAGTCTTCGTATAACGTCCCCAGGCCCCTAATAAGCTCCCAAAGCCCCTAATAACCTCCCCAGGCCCCTAATGACCTCAAGAGGGCACTAGTAACCTCCCCAGGCTCTCAGTGACATCCCCAGGCCCCTCATACCCTCTCCAAGACCTTAATAACCCCCCAGGCCCCATATACCCTCCCCAGGCCCCTAATAACCTCCAAGGCCCCTAATAGCCTCCCCAGGCCCCTGACAACCTCCCCAGGCCCCTAATAACCCTCAGGCCCTGTATAAAATCCCAAGGCCCCTAGTAACATTCCCAGGTCATTATTAACCTCCCCAGGGCCCCGCATAACCTCCCTAGGGCCCCCAATAACCTCCCAAGGCATAAAACCTCACATGACCCCCAATACCCCCCCCAGGGCCCCCTATAACCTCCCCCAGGCCCTTACAACCTCCAAGGGCCCCCTATAACCTTCCAAGGCCCCTTTTAACCTCCCAGGAACCCTAGTAACCTCCTCAGGCCCCGTATACCTCCAAGGCCCCTAATAACTCGCCAGGCCCCTAATAACCTACCCGGGCCCCTAATAACTTCCCGTAAAACTAATAACCTCCCCTGGCTCCTAATAACCTTCCCCGCCCGTATAACCTCTCCAAGGCCCCCAATAACCTCCCCAGCACATAACCTATCCAGGCCCTTAATTAAACCTCCTCAGGCCTCTAATAACCCCCCCAGGCCCCTAGTAACCCCCTCAGCTTCATTAACCCCCCCAATCCCCAAAAAAAACCCCCCAAGCCCCGATAAAATCCATAGGCCCTTTATAACCTAAAATTTTCCCGAATAACCTCCCCAGCCCTGTAAAACCCCCTTTGATCTCTATAACCTCCCGGCCCTTAAAACCTCCCCAGGCTTGTGTAACCTCCCACCCCCCTAATAACCTCCCCAAGCCCCAAATAACCTCCCCTACCTCTAAAAACCCCCCCAACCCCCTAATCCCTCCCCGGCTCTGTAAAACCCTTCTCGGGCCGCTATAACCTCCCAGTCCACTAAAAACATCCACCCCCCTAGAATTTCCCCCAGGCCCGATAACCTCCCCCCAGGCAGCCAATAGCCTTCTCGGGCCCCCCCGTATAACCTCCAAAGCCCCAAAATAACCCTGCAAGCACTTTAACCCCCCCGGGCCCCCTTTAACCTACCCATTCCCCCCAATCCCCTCCCCACCCCCAAAAAAAAAATCCCCAGGCCCCCAATAACCTTCCGAACCATGTAAAAAAATCCTTAGGCCCTTAAAACCTTTTCATGGGCCCCTTAAATAACCCCCCGGGCTTCGCGTAACCTTCTAGGCCCCTAAAAAACCCCCCAGAAAAATTGTACACCCCCAGGCCCTCTGTAACCTCCACAGGCCCTTAATAACCCCCCCCGTTTCGTGAACCTCCCCATTTTTCCAAAACCCCCTCAGCCCCTAATAATCCCCCCAAATCCCTAATAACCTCCCCAAAGCCCCTAATAACCCCCCCGGGTTTCAAATAACCTCCCCGGGCCCCGTTACCCCCCCTGGCCCGTATAAAATTCCCACCCCCCCAATAATTTCCACTAGCCTCAATAACCTCCGGGGGCCCCGTATAACCCCCCAAAGGGCTTGTTATCCTCCGGCACCAAATAACCTCCCCCGGCCCCGAAAAAAACCCCCAAAAGGGCCCAAAAAACCCCCCCTGCCCCCATAAAAACCCTCCCAGGCCCCATAAAACCCCCCCCGGCCCTTACAACCTCCACAAGCCCCAATAACCTCCCCAGGCCCATTATAACCCCCGGGGCCCTAGTAACCTCCCCAGGACCCTAGTAACCTCCCAGGCCACTAAAAACCCCCCAAAGGGCCCAAAATAACCTCCCAAGGGCCCCTAAAAAAGCTCCCCAGGATGTATATCCCCCACCCCCCTAACAACCTGACTAATAGCCTAATAACCTAGCCGCCCTTTTAAAACCCTTCCCCAGCCCCTAAAACCTACCAAGGTTCCTAATAAAAACACGGCCCCTAAAAACCTCCCGAGGCTTCTAGAACCTTACAGGACCCTAAAAACCTCCCCCACATGAAACCTCCCAGGCCACTAATAATTTCCCCCGGGCCCCGTATATCCCCCAAAGGGCCCATAAAAATCTCCCCGGGCCTTTAAAAACCCTCCCCAGGACCCAATAACTTTCCCATTAAACTAAAAACCTCCCCTGGCTCCCCAAATAACCCCCCCGGGCCCTGTATAACCCTCCGCCCCAGTAATCCCCAAGCCAAAATAACCTACCCGGCCTTAATTACCTCCCGGGGCCTCTAATAACCTCCCCAGGCCCCTAGTAACCTCCTCAGTCCTCAATAACCTCCCCAAGCCCCTAAAAAATCCCCAAACCCCGCATAAAATCCATAGGCCCTTTATAACCTCCCAATGCCCCTAATAACCTACCCAGGCCCTGTTTAACCTAGTAAGGCCCTCTATAACCTCCCCTGGCCCTGTGTAACATTCCCAGGCCCTTATTAACCTCCCCAGTCGTCGTATAACCTCCCCAGGCCCCTAATAAGCTCCAAAAACCCCTAATAACCTCCCCAGGCCCCTAATGACCTCAAAAGGGCACTAGTAACCTCCCCAGGCTCTCAGTGACATCCCCAGGCCCCTCAAACACTCTCGAAGACCTTAATAACCCCCCAGGCCCCATATAACTTCCCCAGGCCCCTAATAACCTCCCAGGCCCCTAATAGCCTCCCCAGGCCCCTGATAACCTCCCCAGGCCCCTAATAACACTCATGCCCTGCATAAAATCCCTAGGCCCCTAGTAACATTCTCAGGTCCCTATTAAATTCCCCACACCCTGCATAACCTCCCCAGGCCCCTAATAACCTCCCAAGGCCCCTAATAACCCACCTGACCCCTAATAACCTCCCAGGCCCCAAAATAACCTCACAAGGCCCTGTAAACCTCCACAGGCCCCATATAACCCCCCCGGGCCCCCTCATAACCTCCCCGGGACCCTAGTGACCTCCCCAGGCCCCTAGTAACCTCTGCGGGCCCAAACTAAAAACCCTCCCAGGCCACTAATA